CCCACCCAAACCATTCTGTGATTCTATCTCCTGCGTTCTGAACACCAGCACAGCTCTGCAGTGCTCCCAGGATTATCCCTCCTTTCTCCTTACCTGGTGAGAAGCAGCCACAAACCGTATCCATCCATCATCAAGAGAAATGACAAATTCTCCCTTCTGCAGCTGCATGTGAAACTGGCCACCTCCCAGCAGGACCAGCGGGTACACCGACACCATGCTGCAGTCCCGAATGAACACGCGGCTCGTCTTGATTTTCTCGTGATACACCAGGTAGGGGCTCTCAAAGTGCCTCGTCTGGAACACGCCAACAACATCCTCGTTAAAGTGCCACATCTCTTCCTACCTGCTCAGGCAGAGCTGGGCCTGCCCGCCTCTTCCACAGAGGCCTCCTCCCTCTCTTCTACTGCTGCAAAGAACAGTAAATGTGCCAAAAATGTGTGGCCAACAGCCTCTCTCTGACCCCTAAGAGCTGCCAATAACTTTGTGAGTTATCCCTCGCTCCTTCCCGCTCTGCAGTGAGCATGTGAGAAATCAGCTAATTCATCAACGTGGCCTCAAGGCCCCAGGTTCTCCATTTCACACTAAGGACATTTTCATGTGTGCATTCGTTATGCTCTTTCAAAGCAAATGTGATGAATGGTTCAAAGCCTTTATAATCCAAATATGTGGTTAATGATTAAAAAAAAAAAAACCCTCACGTTTTTTAAAGCAAGTAATTTATATGCTGGAAAAGCAATGAATCATCAAATATGGAGACAGATTTCATGAGACAAATGTTACCATGTATCATGGCAGAGAGAGAAAAGCTCTTATTTAAGTATTAGCTATTAAGTGGGAAAGGAAATTAATTTCAGAGTTTAAGGACCCACAGAGACACAAACCAGAGTAGGGCCCTGAATTATTTACCAATAAATAATATTTCAGCTGAAGTGCAAAAGCCTGGGGGAGGGGTGATGGGGAGAAGTTATCTACATCTATGAAGGTGCTACACTTGTGCATGCCATCTCAGTCAACGCCAAGGAGAAGCCAGGGGAGAACAACTGCAACATTCCTGTGTGCAGCTCTGGAGTAGCAGCTTAAGAAAATAAGAACTGAGTTGAGTTACTGAAACACACCATTATTTACAATTCTAACCGGGGATTGTTCAATCATTAAATTTTTTTTCCCATTTCTTTTATAAAAAAGAGCATGTTTTGCAGAAAAAAAAAAGAACCCTGACCTGATAATTCACAGATGAAGGGTGAATGTGAACACACCCATCGTTTTTGGTAACAAACTTCAGCTCTTCTGCTTTTGGTTGCATTTTGACCGCTCCTGTACTGGTCTTCTGGTATTTGCCCTCTGGCTTTTTCACCTGGATAGTAAAATAAAAAGTTATAAAAATCTACTGTACCAGAAAACATTTTTAACTTGTGTTTTCATTTTATCAAAACCAGAAATTCTCAAGTAGTAACATGTTAAGTCACTAGAGACAGATATGACATGCTGGGTGCTGTCTAACCCTGTTGGTTCATTTGTAACTTCAGCCTCCTAAAAAGCTGTAATTTAAAGTGGCTGCTTAAGAGCATTTGCTGCTGGCTTCTGTGTGACACAAAAATCAGGAATAGGAATGTAGGAACAGCAGCAGTCTCCAGCAGTACCAACTGGAGCTCAGCTGCCTGGCTCCAATCGTGTGAGCAGCAAGCTTGGGCAACCTAAGCCAGGCTCAAGGCTGCCACCATCAGCCCAGGCTGCAAGCAGGCTGTATGGATACGCGACACAGCGGAAGGGAAAATGAAAAAGCATTCTTTTACCTGGACAACGTTGGGATACAGTGCAGCACACAACATAGCTGAGATCAGCTTGATGTTCTCTGCATTTGAATTTGCCTGTGGGATTAATACATGCATTAGGTATTCAAGTCCACACCGGTAAAACTCTGCTTCTGGGATGACTGAATTCCTGGTTTACAGCTCTTAAAGTCTCAGGGTAGACCTGGGCTGTGTTACCAACTACCCATGGAGCAAACTGGCCACCAACTATCTCGATGCAGTTCGTGCTGAACCTAATTGTTGCCTAATGTCTGGTTACAAAGCGGCTTGCCCCCCCTGAGAGAAAGCAAGCACAGGGAGACTGTAACTCCCAAACCTTTACCGCCTCATCCTGTAGCCCTAGGAGATCCCTGGCTCCGGAGGTACGGCTTTCTGAGGATTGTCTGCAATGCTGAAACATTTCAATGCCTGCTCTGTAATACAATTCTGTTCCCAAAATAAGGTTGGCACTAATCCCAGCATTGGGATTAGTGAGTCAGACCTGTGCCTTTCCAGCACTTGCTGACTTCTAACGTGTCAAGTCAGCTGTGTTCCACTCTCTCAAAGGAGCAGGTTTCAGCTCGCTTCCACATCTGGGCCTGTTCTTCCTGGGCATGTAAGGCCTCATGCAATTGAGGCTTGTACCAGCAAGTACAGGAAGGAAGAACAGAGCAGGTACCAGGTGACCTGCCAGCGTGGGATTACAAAGCCAGGCTGTGGCAAGAAGCCCACCAGTCTAAAGCCCACCTGGCACGCAGGTCAAATGAAAAACTGCACCATCATTTTTAAGCATTGAAATGGTGTGAAATACCTCTTCTCCTGTGGCATCCAACACACCATCGCCTCCTTGGGACCACTTCTTCTCAATGTCCCTGGCTCTTAATCCCTCCTTCACAAACCCAATGTCAGAAAGCAGCTCTGTGAATTGCCGTTTCAGACTGGCAATTTCCTACAAACAGACAAAGGGCTGTGACAGGTGCCACACAGAGCGAGGAGAGTCTTCACCCATCGCTAGGACTCTGCCAGTATCTCAGCCAGTCCCTGTGCAAGGCCACAAAAACTGACTTACCTGAAGAACTCTTCCTGACAAAAAGTTCTCCCTGCAGTAGTTGTAGCTTGCCTGAGAGCCCTCTTTGATACTTAAACGCCATCCCTAATCGAAAGGATGGGAGGAAACCTTCAATAAAATATTTCAGCTTGAATTTCAAACACATCACAAACCTCTGAGAGAGGCCACTGAATTTAGCTCACCTTATAGGCCTGGAGAAGAGCCAGGTAGTCACTGTTTCCTACTGCAAACTCCAACTTCTTTTTGTTGGCTTCTTCCCTTTTATCCCATGGTGACACCTAGACAGGTAGGAACAAATTAAGCATGATCTTCCCCTCACAACTTAGACAAGCTGTTGTGAGAGCTCCATGGCCCATAACCTTTGGCATTTTCACAGCAGCTCACAGGTCAGAATGCAGATTTTCTTCACGGATAACAGAAAATAGGAGGCACTCAAAAATGCCTAGTCAACAGCAGAGCACCTGAGCGCATTGCCCTATGTAACCACAGGAGATCTGAAGGTAAATTCATGATTGACCAGCTCACAGAAAATTTTGGGCAGCTGCAGAATGCCAAGATCCATGAAATGACACATCTTAGCAAGTTAATGGAGCTGAAGCTCAAATGAGAATGCCTATAATAGAGGGCACAGCAAGTCTAAAATCCACTTGGATCTGACAGAGAGAAGGCAATAGTAACTCAGGACATTAAAAAAGCTGAATTTAACATATTCTATATCAGCATATAGAAACTTACAGCACTTGAAGTCAAACTGCTGTAGAAAATGCCCAATAAGCATATGGAAAACAAATGCAATGCAATTAAATAACTAGACCAATCTATTTCCAGTTCTTTCATAACTATCCCCAATGCAAACTATTTGCACTCCTAACGACAGCAATCAAAACTTGAAGAAAATTTGAGTTTCCATGCAAGTTTGTACCTTGCAGTAGAAAATTAACGACAGTGAGGGCACCTGTAGGTACAGCAGCTGATTCGAAATGCCAAAGCCAACAAATGGAGATCCACGGTGAACTCTGCCTTCACAGCTCAGACATGTCAACTTCATAATTATCACTGCTTCGTAATTATTTCTAACTGCTTCTTCTATTACCGTTCATTTTCAATTTTTACATCAAATTTGGAGAAAATGGACTTGGCTGTACTTCTTAGTTCAAATTAAAACTAATATCCACTCTGTTTCTACTGCTCACTCATAAGTAACATCTTTGTCTCTGCCGCCTGGTTTTGGTCTTCTGCTTATAACTGGGCTTTTTGAATGAGCACTGTATTGACATATAAACAGTGTAGGCTAAAAAAGGAGAATTAAAATACTCAGTATGCTGCAAGTTACCAAAGTGCTTTGCTGCTGCATGAAAACATACAGCTTTCAAAGTGGGACACAGGGTTAAGAATACTTACAAAAGGCGACTTAAAGGCCAGACTGGCTGCTATAGTTAGTGCAGGATCCAGGCAGCGGAAGATGGTGCCAAACAGCATTAGCTTGCCAATCCTGACATCGACAGGCAGAGAAGCCAAGTGATATCCCAGAGGAGTGAGCTTTTCATCTGGAGTTAGTGCTCCTAAATCCTGTAGTCGCAGCTTTGATGCCTGCAAAGACTCAGTTCTAGGGGGTTCAATTAGTTGTGATAAGACAGAGTGAAGACTCTGTGCAGAAAACATCTCCAGAATCTTAATTCTAAAGGGGGCCGGGGGGGGGGGGGCAAAAGAGAAAGAAAGAAAAAAAAAGCAGCTTAATTCAATACACAAGACAAAAAACCAAGCTTTTATAAAAAGAAAACAAAAAGCCAACAGAAAGCATGCTGCTTCTTCCCTACAAGAAGGCCTGTAACGCGTTTCAAATCAGGAAGCAATGTGAAATAATAGCTTGGGGGCAGCACACCCCATCCAGCCTCACAGAGCCCCGAAGAACAGACTCCTCCTATTTAGCACACTAGGGTTTCAAATAAAGTTTTGACTGTAAAAATAAATAAATAAATAAATCGTGTTGTTTCATTTCCTTTTTGTACAAAGTGTTTTGCACAGTGTTGCAGAAGGGACAGGAGGGCCTCTTCATTTAGTATTTGCGTGATCGTGTTTGCTTGATCCAGGTTGTGGCTTTACTGCATTTGCTGCCCAGAAACACTGCAGGAGAGTTTACAGTGTAAAGGCACAAACATCTGCTGTGGGTCTGGAATACAGGCATGCAATTGTCTTCTCTGGTGATGAGAGATCTGAGAGAGGTATCTTTTTCCTAGGGTGAGATGAGAGCTAAGGAATATGAAGAAGAACAAGGAGAATTGTTCTTGCCATCATCAGCCACCAGGATGATGCGAGGGCTGGAGCACCTCTCCTATGAGGACAGGCTGAGAGAGTTGGGGCTGTTCAGCCTGGAGAAGAGAAGGCTCTGGGGGGACCTTATAGCGGCCTCCCAGTACCTGAAGGGGCTACAAGAAAGCTGGGGAAGGACTTTTCATAAGGGCAGTTAATGACAAAACAAGGGGAAACGGGTTTAAACTGAAAGAGGGGAGGTTTAGATGAGATATTAGGAAGAAGTTCTTCACTGTGAGGGTGGTCAGACACTGGAACAGGTTGCCCAAGGAAGCTGCTGATGCCCCCTCCCTGGAAGTGTTTAAGACCAGGCTGGATGAGGCTTTGAGCAACCTGGTCTAGTGGAAGGTGTCCCTGCTGCTGGCAGGGGGGTTGGGACTGGATGATCTTTAAGGTCCCTTCCAATCCAAACCATTCTATGATTCTATGAATTGGTGGAGGGTGCAATTAGTGGGGGCTCTGGATGCAGAGGCAATGTGACAGTAAGATCAAAGCAACCAGCCAACAGAGCCTTAGACCTCCAGAGCAAGTTGCTTGGTTTCATGTGAGAAAACACTGAGGAAACTAAACACCATGGCAATGGCACTCCAGGCGCTCCCTGCAGTGGAGGAAGGACATTCTGCACGCTGGCTTTCCTGGGTAATACAGGAACAACAGCTCACCTTAGACAAAGCTGCTCCAAGGGCACTCTTTGTATTTCTGGTAGCTGCTGTTTTATGAGCTGATGGTTATAGTGATGGCTACTGAAAAGATGAAAGCAGACGCCTGAGGCTACACGACCTGCTCGCCCCTTTCTTTGCAAAGCATTGGCCTTGGACACAAATGTGTCTTCCAGACTTTCCATTCCTTTGCTTGGGTCATATCTACAGGAGAGCAAAAAACAGGCTTATATTCACAAGAGCAGAGCAAACCAGCTGGAGGTCAAGCAGGCAGATGCTGCCAACTTCTGTATGGACACAATTCCCACCCCTGCAGCTGGAACTGAGGCAGAACAAGTTCCTTCAAGTTTTTTCCAGCTCTTTGGAAAGCTGAAATATGCAGCTCAAGGCATAGAGCAGTTTCCCAGAAGACAAAGCCCTGAGGAATGAATCCCAATACCTTTTCTCTTTCATTTTTCCAGAATCAATCACATAGACCACATCATCAATGGTGACAGATGTTTCTGCGATGTTTGTAGAGATGATGATTTTGATAACTCCTGCAGGAGGTCTGAGGAACACAGACTGCTGCTCTTCACTAGACAGTGAAGAATGAAGCGGATAAACAACACACCTGGAAGGACAATATGACAGCATGCTGAGTGCATCTCCAGCCTTTTCCCTCTTGGGAACACTCTGCCTGTGCATACTCTTGCCCCAACTAGTACCAGACACTGCCCACAGCCACTCAAAGCGATAGAAAACCAGCCAACCTCTCTGCCTTGTCACCTTTAAGAGACAGAATCATAAAATGGTTTTGGTTGGAAAAGACCTTTAAGATCATTGAGTCCAATCAAAAAACTAACACTGCAGCTCCACCACTAAACCACGTCCATAAGCACCTCATCTACACATCTTTTAAATACCCCCAGGGATGGTGACTCCACCACTTCCCTGGGCAGCCTGTTCCAATGTCCGACTACCCTTTTGAAGAAGAAATTTTTCCTCATACCCAATCTAAACCTTCCCTGGAGCAACTTGAGGCCATTTCCTCTTGGCCTGTCACTTGTGACCTGGAAGAAGAGACCGACCCCACCTCTCTCCACCCTCCTTTCAGGGAGTTGGACAGAGCCACAAGGTCTCCCCTCAGCCTCCTTTTCTCCAGGCTCAACAACCCCAGTTCCCTCAGCTGGGAACTCATCACACTTGTGCTCCAGACCCTTCCCCAGCTCTGTTGCCCTTCTCTGGACACACTCCAGCACCTCCATGTCCTTCTTGGAGTGAGGGGCCCAAAACTGAACCCAGCACTCGAGCTGCGGCCTCACCAGTGCCCAGTACAGGAGGAGGATCACTGCCCTGGTCCTGCTGGCCACACTACTGCTGATATATGTTCTAAGGGAAGGTGAAGAAATTTACAGAAGGGACAGGTCTCAGAAGAAAGTTCAGTAAAAATTCTGCCTCTTTTGAAGAGTCTAGAATCTGCCATTCATAATGCCAGACTGGAAGAAACCACCCCAGCTAACCTTGCCAAGGACATCTGTGTAAAAACCGTCTAGCCAAGGAGATCCAATTACATCTCCGTGTAACAATCTAACACCAAATGCAACCACAACTGAATGAGTCTCAGCAAACATTCTGAAACAGAGCAAGGGCTGAGGTCAAGTTTTCAACAGTCCACTGGATCATGCAGAGCACAAGATGGAGAACACTCATCACTAGGGTTTCCAAGAACTTCAACAACTAACCTTCCTGAGTCAAGGAGAAAAAACAAAACAAGCCAATAAGACAGTACAAAAGGAATTACCCTGACTGGAGTCAAGATCTTTCTATTACAATCTGTCTTATACATTTAATAACCTTTATTTATCCCTGGATAAAGGCAGGCTTTGTGCAGGAAGCTACTTTGTATTTATGGGTAAAGACAGATTTGGAGCTTTTCTGCCTTACCTCTTGCTGTGCCGGTTATTAAAAAGAGCATTAGACTGGAGCTGCTCATAAAGCATCTTGATTTCTGCTAGACCAGGCAAAAATATCAACACAGCACCTATATAGGAGATTAAAACAAAACAAAACAAAACAAACACCTCAACAGAAAGGACAGCATGATATTTTATTGATGTGCAAAAGGCCCAAGCCAAAACTTCAGTTCTGTTTTGCAATTACTGTACAAAAACCCCACGGGCTTCAACAGTCCCTCAGCAAAGCTGACAATTCTCTCACCTTCCCCATCTCACTTACATCAGGGGCTTTGTTACTCAGCTAGAATTTTTTTCTTTTTCCCAAAAATATTCAGTAACTACAGAAACTCTGCATGTAAAACATTAGCTTTGGGCTGTCTATAAGTGCACAGCCTCCATGAATCTACTTTTGTTTATCTCTCAAGGACAACAAAATTACCTGGGGGGTATGAATGCTTGCCAGCAACTATCCATTCCAGCAAGGCTTCAATTAATTCCAGATTAACTTTGTCCAAGTCCATGACAGACATTGTTTTCAACACTGTCTTGTTAACCCCTGGGGAAAAGAAATAAAACAGTAAGTCCATCTCTTGTCAAAAACATTTGCTGGATGCATTGAAACCAGTGTGGCTGCACAACCAACCACAGCATCTGGCTTAGACCAGAGGTAGCTTCCTAAGTGACTCACTGTGTGACATTCCTCCTTCCATGTTTTCCTCTGTTTCAGCTCTTCCCTCCCATTCTCATGCCTTACTGGGGCTCACACCTGCCCTATGCACAGCCCACACCAGGATTCATCTACTAGCAGAATGACATGCACACATACTAGTGGCAAAAGGAGCCACAAGCCTTCATATGCCCACTCACAGACACTTCCAGGACTACTTTCCCCAAGATCTCTCTTCTCCCTTCCAATGTTTCTTACACCAACTCAAAAAGACACCCAGATTCATTTACTCTTCTGAGATGGTAACTGTCTAGCAGGGATCTCAAGCTTTTAAGCAATAACCACTGTGGAGCTCACTGAGGAACAATTCAGGACTATGTACAGGGAGGATTTTGATGACGAGAGAGTGTGAAGTTCATGGAAAGGTCTGTCTCTCTTATTAAACCATTCACAGAGTGCCTGAATTCATCAAGAAAGGCTTGTCATGCTGAAGTGACCTCCTTGAAGTGGGCAGATACAGGCTGTGCTTTAAGTAAAGCTGCAAGAACAGATACAGAGGAGAAAGTAGAATTAACAAGGCATCTGAAAAGGGATGGAATCAGATAGTCACTGAAAATTGTCCATTTTCAGATGCTAAGGACTGTTTTCAGTCAAGATGTTTGTTCTAGTTTGAGAGAACAATGGGGTTTGGTTTTTTTTTTTCAAGCTGGTAGGAGGTTTCTGATCTCACCTAGAAGTAGTGACCTGCTTAACTTCACAAGCACAAAACTCTGAATTATATACACGCATTCAACATACAATATTATATGCTAACACACCACATTGGCTAACAAATGTTATAAGCCAATTTATTAGATCTAAGAAGGTGCTTACCTTTATATCGTGTAAGGAGCTGCTTCAGAGTTAATTTTTGGTCTGGGTCTGAATCTCTGACAACTGTGTCAGTGCCTTCCAGAATGCCAGCACGTCTCAGGTCCTCCTCTACTTCTTCAAATGCAGTTCTTTTGTGTCTTCCATTCTGTTTATTTTCTTGCTTTGTTTTGCGTCTGTAAGGACTACTGTCCTCTAAAACATACCTGAACAGCAGAAGACCATTTAGTAGTGTGGAAAGAAGCCTAACAGTCACCTTCTAACAGTAAGTTACAGAGATAGGGTATCAAATGTATGTATATATACATCTGAGAGGAACTTTGTGTAAGTGGGCTGCAAAACCACAGACACTATTAAGGTCAAGGTGTCCTTCCATACTGGGATGTTATGTGTTTCAAAAGCTGTGAGGTGAAAGACTAGGACTGCAAACGTGACCCTGACAGCTAAGTGGGCAGCTCAGAGCAACAATCTGCAAGTAATTTACAACAGCTGACCTGGGCTATCTGAGCTGCTGTGACTCTCCAGTAACTACAAATAATAGCAGGAATCTGGTACCTGAGCTGCAAGGTAGGGCTTACAAAAAGGAATTGTTTGGTATCCTGCCTTCAGTGTTGAAATCTACCTTGAAATTTATTTTGCTTGCCAATGTCTAACCACGACTGAAACAAGTAGAGCACAAGCACTAACAAACTCTTCATGGCAAAGTTCACCTTTTATTGAGTACTTATGTGGCATCTAATGCAGAAAGGCTTGTTCTGACATGAGATCGTAGACCCCATTGCAGAATAACAAGTAGAGTTTGAAGTCAATGCTTTAACAGAACTCCAAGACTACAGGTGATGGAGGAGACATGAGAGGATTTAACTTTGGAATTTATGCACAGAACTACTGCAGTCTCAAGGTCAATAGTGCAACCTCAACGGCCAAATACATCTGAGAATGTTTGGCAATTTCATACCTTGTCATTGCAATCACATCTTCCAGAAAAAACTGATCCACAGGAAATGTTCGACCTAAAAGGAAACATGAGAATAAATCTACATGACAAATAACACGCAGAAAACAGGAACAAGAAGATGGTTATCATTTCACATAGGTTATTATGTCACACACTAGCTTCATAGTTCTCATCTATACTGCACTCTCCCAAACAATTTCTGTCTAGGACAAATAGTGGATGTTTTCCAAGCATGGTTTGGTAACATGCACTTACACAGTCAGAGAAGGGCTGATACACTTAAAGGAACATATCCATGAGGCCACGTGTTTCTGTCATGCTCCATGTAATAACTTAGCAATTTAAAAGGCACATCTGGCTAAATATGTACACACCCAGCTGGATCCTCTCACTGCTGCTTTTTCACAAGGATAGAGAAGGCTTCAGCTGTGGTGAAACTAACTCAGGGAACCATGTCTTGCATGCCATGTCATTTTTGTCTTTTGGGGAAGGAAATTCTGCTGGTATAGAGAAAGTACAAAAAAGGCTCCATTTCCAAGTCTTCTCTCTCCTAAATCTCATTGGTCTTTCCTTCTAAGCCCTTGGAATCATAGTTCTTGTATAAATCCTCATCTTGCCACTTTGCAAATTAGCCCCTTGCACCTGAATTGAGAAACAACTTTGCAAGCAGAAATACTGAAAACAAACCCATAAAACAATGAATGTGACAAGATAATAAAAATGAATGGTCTTCACCTGGTATGTTAATAATTGGGCAGGAGTGAAAGTATTGAGAAAAAAGCTCTGCATTCAAGGTGGCACTCATTAGTATGATGCGCAGGTCCGGCCTCTGAACCATGATATCCTTCAAAACCAGCAGCAAGAAGTCACTGAAGAAAACAAACAAAAAGACATTTGAACTTCTTCAGTGTTAACTTTCAGAGTCCCTTTCTTTCTCCACATTCAGTCCACCTTCCTCCTGGAGTTTTCAATAGCACAGCAATACCAGCAGAGAAGCAGGAGCTTCTCAGAATGGCTGGAGGCAGGAATTAATGGAAGGCAATCTGCTTACTTTTTGGTTGTCCCTTACTAGAGTGTCAGGATTACCTGGCAAATTCATTTAAGCAACAACAAACTCTAGCTACCTTATAAATTAATTACATTAATGACAACACAAGAACATTAGATAACAAATTAACTCAAAGTAGCAGATGAGTCCTTTTTGCTCCTCTTCCTCACTGGAAGAGTTATGAAGAGTTACCCACTCTTCCCTGCTCACTGTATTCTCCCCTATATATTTATAGGTAAGACTGGCTTGAAGTGATTTTAGATGAGAAGGAAGAAGAGTCCTTGAGAGACACAAACCCTTTTACGAGGCTAAAATATAATCTGAGCTGTAGAATAATGGGTAACAGTCAAAGCCTCCTGGAAACCCACGGCATTGCAGTGTTACACAAGGAAAACATCAAAGAAAAGGATCCTTGCCACTTAAGTTTACAAAGATACTGACAGACATTATCTTTTGCCTGGCATCAGCAGGTGAGTGGGGTAAAACTGCAGGAGGCTGGAGCAGGATAGGATAAGACTGTCTAGGACTAGTAAAATCTACAGACTGGAAGAAAACGTGAGCACTTGTCCCTTGCAGGTGCTCTGCTGAAGCCTGCATCAGGGGAAGTAATTCCCAAAAGGGCATGTGAAGAATTAGGGTATTTGGTAAAAACTAAAACATGGGAAGAATAAGAACCAGACAACTGCGGTTAAAAAGTTACTTAACCTTCCAGCCCCATCCAAAACATCAACAGCACTGCAATGGGATGGCAGATTGGAGGCACAGAAATTTAAGAGACATGCTTTCTTTGCAAGCTGCTGCGACACAACTTCCTACCGCCCAAAGACAAGAACCTAAACCCAGACTCCTTCCACCATCCCACGTTACTGCCACAGGACCAACAACTCTGACTTCAGTTACGTGCACCTGAGTCACCTTTATCCTTCTGACTACGTTTCTTCATTTTGCTTATGGGATGAGAGATTATTTACCTTTCTTCTGTTCTTTCGTGAACTTCATCAACAATAACATGTGTGATTCCCTGCAAAGTCAGATCTCCTTCCAGCCTTCTCAACAGCACACCAGTAGTGCAGTACAAGAGTCTGGTAGCTGAGGACTTGAACGGTAAGACAAAGCATTCAGGTGACTTCGTATAACTTAACATAATGAAAAGAGAATATGTGCTGCTGTAAAGCATTTGGTTTCAGCTGAGTGCCAGGTTTGACAGAAAGAGAACAAGCAATCCCTGCTGGAGTTGGGCTGAACAAATTTTCTTTCTTGATTAAAACTTAAAAGCATCTGCTTCTTACCAAGGGGTATTGCTAACAAAAAATCTGGGGTAAACAAAAAATCCGAAGCTTTTTTTCCTGTGGAAGGTGCTTTCTGGTAAACAACTTGGATCTCTGTCCCTAGAAAGATTTAGTGAATCTCTTCTTCAACATAATTCTTGGGAAAAGCAATCAGCTGCAATGTAGATAAAATTTAACTTCCAAGTTTGAATTTCACTTTCCAGTTTGAATTCAAGCCCCCCTTCTGGTTGACTGAAGCTGCACCCTTCAATCTCCACTTGGGAGACAAATGGAAAATGAGACAAGTGTCAGTAGCCTTCCAGAGGACGGTAGTATTACTCACACTCTCAGATTCCTTTGTCTCAACAGAAAGCAAAAACAGCAATACAAGACATAGTACTGCATTCTCATTCCCTAAAGTGGACTGTGCAACTTGAGATGAAAGAAAATATAGAATATATTTCAAAATATAGGTGATACAAACTTGCTTATGTCACTACATGGCAGATAGAGGCCAGAGATTCTGTATGCTAGAGAAGCACTAAGCACATTTTAACAGAACTAAATGAAAATCAACAAGCAAAGCATATATACCTTTACACTTTCCAGACGGATCTGATATCCAACAGTGAGTCCAATCCTTTCTGTTCTTTCTTTGGCTACACGTTCAGCCACAGAAATGGCAGAGATCCTGCGAGGCTGAGTGCAGATGATGTTTGCAACTCCGCTTGGAGATCCTTGCAATGAAGCATCCAAAATAAACTGAGGAATCTGAGTGGTTTTCCCACATCTGCATGACAAAATCAAGGATTCATTAAAAAAAACACCTCACAAACCCAACACCTTCTATCCATGTAAATTCATGTAACTACATTCCACTTGAAATTGGCTTTGTTTCATTAGTCTCATCCTCCATGAGAAGTTCACCTAGGACTGCTGTCACTGGTCACAGATGGACCACGACCCTGACCTTTTCAGGACACAGATACCTATTTCACATTCTTCTGTGTATATTTTGATACATAAAGTCTGTATGTGCAATCACGCTCTCACCCCGTCATGCCGCTCACAACAAGAACTTGGTGGCTCTTCAGCAAATCAAGAATGGTTTCTCTCTCTTGCCACGCAGGGAGCTTCTGTCTTTCATACAACATAGACTGGAAGTGCCTGGAAGACTGATGCACAAAAACAGACAGCATGGCAGTAAGAACACCACTGGACTGGAACAGAAGCATTTGAAACAGCAGCCTGTGGCTTAAATATTTATTTCTCTAAAGTAAGCATGAAAACAGACATCCTGTTCTGTACATCATACCTTTTTCAGCCGAAATTGTGCGCAGATTTTAACATTTTCATTATACAGAGACTTTGCCTGCACATCATACTTTCTGGAAAGCTTTTTCTTGAGGTTCACATAACTCTCATTCTCCACAACAACTTGCTCAGGATCATCTTCCTCCTCCTCTTCTGCCACCTCCTCTTCTCCCTGAGGCTCTGGCACTGTTGAGGCTTGAGACAGAGAACATACAGTTAGCTATTCTTGTTCCTAAGGAACAGGACCTCATCAGCACTGCAGAAAAGAGACACACCTTCCAGGAGCATTTTCAACAAAGAACCTTGTTAGACTGGAGAGCTGAGGGTCTGCAGGACTGTTTTTTACATGCACTTAGTTCAACACTGCCAGCAAACCTCCCCTCACCCCATCAAACAAGCCACAGCTTCTCCAGCTCCAACCCACTCATCACTACCGCTGCACCGGCTGTGCTCTGCAACGCCAGGGTCTGGGTGGCCACATGGTGACCCAGACTGGTAACTGGTTTCCCTTCCTGAGTGTTTTTCACGTGTCTCAGCTTCCCACTCATTCACCACATGACCACTTCTATGGAATCACAGATTGGTCTGGGTTGGAAGGGACCTTAAAGATCATCCAGTTCCAACCCCCCTGCCAACAGCAGGGACACCTTCCACTAGACCAGGTTGTTCAAAGCCTCATCCAACCTGGCCTTGAACACTTCCAGGGAGGAGCAGCCACAACTTCCTTGGGCAACCTGTTCCAGTGTCTGACCACCCTCACAGTGAAGAACTTCTTCCTAGTATCTAATCTAAACCTGCCCTCTTTCAGCTTAAAGCATAAAGCACAAGATTGTGCTGGCAGCACCAGTGTAAATTAATTACAACTACACTGTAACATTAAGTCTTAAGCCACTGACAAGTACTTTTAAACCAAGGCTGAAACTGGAGCAGGTACTTTGGTGCCTACTGCTGATCAACTGATCTGGTATTTGCTCAGATGGTAAGCCAGCCAGTGAAAGTTTTAAGGCTACATTTATCTAAACAAGGTATTTTATAACATAAGGAAGATTATTTGAAATCTCTGATTTCAGTTTCTGGAACAAAGTTGTCTTTCTGTGGGGCTGTTAAAAAAAAATGGAATAACTTGTTCTACTGTAACAAAAAAATAGGCTGTTACTTCCTAGGTGCTCTAAAATGCAATGTAGTTGTTCTTGAAAACTCGCCTGAAGAAAGTTTCCCTAGATACAACAGCTTCTGAATTGAGAGCTTGAAGGTCATCTATGCCACTGATTTGCTGTCACCCTGCTGTAAGTGACACAGTCCCAACCCTCCCCCTGCAAAATCAATATAGTTGCACTTGCCTGCAAAAAAAAAGGGATGATACCTTGAACAACATTCTACAACCACTTGCAACATTTACCTACCCTTAAATCCACCTTTACAAAATCCATTTGGAGGAGATGTTGGTAGTTTTAAATAACTTTTTTTTTTCTCTTTTTTTTTTTTTTTTAGTGACACAGTCCCAACCCTCCCCCTGCAAAATCAATATAGTTGCACTTGCCTGCAAAAAAAAAGGGATGATACCTTGAACAACATTCTACAACCACTTGCAACATTTACCTACCCTTAAATCCACCTTTACAAAATCCATTTGGAGGAGATGTTGGTAGTTTTAAATAACTTTTTTTTTTCTCTTTTTTTTTTTTTTTTTAAAAAAAAAGATGTTTCTGAATTGATGAGTAGCAGATGCACCACAGTTTGCAAGCAACCTTCCCCCTTCCTTTCCAAGCACACTTCTCTGGTCAGTTTTGGTGAGCTCACACCACACCTCTCAATGGCTTTTTATCGACTGTGTGGGAACAGGCATCACTCACCCTGCCAACCCAAACCCATTAGCTCTGTGCTCCTTTAACTCACTTCTTGCCAGCAGAAAACATCTCTGCTGCAGCTTTATTGCGGAAGGGACTTCCTGAGGCACAGACAGATTACAGACCTGGCTCACCACATGACCTTAATCTCCAGAAATAGATTTGGAACAGATGCCTGAATTGGGTGCTCTGCCTTCTTTTTTTTTTTTTCATAGAATCATAGAATGGT